CCAAAGAAGGTAGACTTTGAAATGGGTCAACTTAATGAACTCCCTGGGAACTCTTACTTTCATTACTACTTTTGTTTTTTGAGGTGAAATTCCCATAACAACTTAACCATCATAAAGTGAATAACTCAGAGGTATTCGGTGAATTTACCATGTTGTGCAAGTACCACCTCTGTCTAGTTCCAAAACATTTCAACCCCATAAGCATTGCTTCCCCTTTCCTCTCCCCCAGAGAATCTCTGTGGGTTTGTCTATTCTGAATATTTCGTTTTGATGGAATCATAATATATGTGAACTCTTGTCTAATTTCTTTTATTTAGCATTTTGTCATGGTTCAGCCATGTTGAAGCATGGATTAGTATTTTATTCTTCTTTAATGGGTGAATAGTATTCCACTGTATGGATGTATCACAAATTGTTTGTCATTCATTCACTGGAGGACATTTGGACTCTTAGGTTTTATGGTAACTCTATCTTTAACTTTCTGAGGGATTGCTAAATTTTTTCCATAGCTGCCGAACCAGTTTACATTTTACATTCCCACCAGCAATGCATGAGGGTTCTGCACACTTTCACTACTAAACAGGTGAGTGCTGTGAGCTTGGGAGGCTGGAGATGGTTACCAGGGGCTAGCATGGGTAAATAGATGAGAGTGATGCCTGCTCCATTCCCCCACTGCCCACCACTGGCTTAGATGGCTGGTTGGCAGGCCCAGGAAGGCTCCTGGCTGGAGGGGGTGTCTTTCCCTTTTCCACCAAGGCATATGGATCAGCTGGTAGACTCTAGAGCCTCAAAGCCAAGCTGCATGTGGTTCTGCAGGAGTTTGAGCTTGTGGTCCACCTGGGCCCCAGAGACTGACAATATGTCCTCTCAAAAAATAGACCCAGATCGTTTTCCTTCCCTTCCTGCTTTGGTTGCTGTCCTCATCTTTCTTCTCTCTTTCTTTTTCCTTTCCTGGGCCTCTCACCTCCTTTCATCCCTCCCATGTCCCCGCTCTCCTCTTCTGTTGTTTATTATTATTATACTATTATTTTTAAATTTTATATGTATTTTTACATCATTTTTCATTTTTGCACAATGTATGCATTTTCATCTTGGTTATAGTCCCCATACAATTCCCACCCCCTCTTGTTTTGATCCTGCTCCCTTCCCCACCCCCTGTAATGTGTCTCTGGTTTATAGTTGCTTGCTGATTTTTTTTTCTCTACCTGTTATCTTCTCTTTGGCCCACTTCTGTCTTCCCTCCTCTCTGTCTCGTCATTCTGGCCCCACTCTCTCCCACCTGCACCTCTCTCTGTGCCCCCACCCTCCAGTGCCTTCCTCTAGACCACTGGCTACAGCTCACTCACCTAGACAATTTTGGGGACTGAGTGGGCAGGAAGGAGATAGGGAGCTGCCTGCACCTTCATGGACTGTACTCACAAGCTCCTCTCCCTGCTTAGCCCCTGGGAGGTCACCCCACAGTGAGGTAGATGGCTGGACAAGGACTCTCCTCTCCTGTGTCCCAGGAGAGGACACAGACTGGCATCAGCAGCACAGACCATGGCACAGTTCACTGTGGAGGGTAAGGAGATCTCTTTCTGGTTTCATCTGACCCTAGTAACAAAGCTCAAGGTCTGGGGAGAAGAGAGGCACCAGGGCACTGTGGTGGCAGGATCTGGCCTGTGGCAATTTGAAGAAAGGTAAGGAGAGGCACGTTCATCCATGCCGCAGAGTTCTCCTGGACACTCCCTGTGTGCCAGGCCAGCAGCAACCTGCTAGCTGAGCCACGTTAGTGCCCAAGCTGAGAGAGGGAAGGGAAGACAGTCCTTACCCCACAGCTCAGCCTCACTTGGAAACTTATTAGAAATGCAAATTCTCAGGCCCCTGGGCCAATTTATTGAATCAGAAATTTTGAGATTGGGGTCCGGCAATCCCTGTTTTAACAAGCCCTAAAAGGGGATTCTGATTGTTTAGTTTAAAAATTACTGCTCTGGGTGGTGGGAGGAATGGGTTGAGGTGGTCAATTCTGGGGAGGCAGGGCCTCCCCGGTGGCGCTGGGTTGCGAAGCTGCCCGCAGCCTCTGCAGCGCCGGTTTGATCCCCGGCCACCGGGCGTGGGTCCCACATGGCACGCAGACGTCTCCTGCCGCCCGCTGCTCCCCTCAGCAGTGTACTTCGGTCCTTCTGCCTGTTCTGCTCCCCGCTCTGGCTCTGGTGAATTCTCTCACCCTCCCGCGCTTCTGACTGTACCCAGTGCTTGTGTAAATAAATAAATAAATCTTTAAAAAAACAAAAAGAACCATTGCCCTGCCATGAGGGGCGGGGTGGGGGGGTGGGGAGGGGCTAGTTAAAGGGGCAACTCAAAGCCTACCTAATGGAGCTCCCAGTCCAGTGGAACCCCAGCTTGGCATCTGACAGGGAAATGCATGCCTGGCCACCCGCCACCGGGGCCTTCTAGTTTTTGAGTTTCTTTGGAAGGAGCTGGCTACAAGTCAGGACCCCAGAGAACCCCGCCTTCACAGCCCCTCCCGTTCTTCAGAAAGTGGGTTTGATGTGCTAATGAGGCATCAATTATTAAGCAGCCTTAGCATTCATTACAATAACAAGGTGGGGGGGAGTCGGCTGGGAGACAGGGAGGGTCTTTTGAAACTTAATACCTTCCACTTCTCTCCCACAAGGCGGGAGGGGCAATGGAGAAGAGGCTCTAAAGAGACTTGTAGGGGTGCTTGGCGACTCAGCTGTGGTCAGAAGATGCAGGCCCTGGAGAGGACACCCCCACCCATGTCCACTTCTGCCCCAAATACCGGCCACTGTGTCTAGAGACTCTGGTCCCATGACAGGGCCAGATCCCAGCGCCTTATTGCAGACTTCGGGTCACCCTTAGATTTTGGATGGTCCTAAGGGTACTCTGGCCAGACTGTAACCTTGCCGGTAGGATGTTTCTCAAGGTTCTGGGGTGGGAGGCCCCAAGGTGGCAGAGTGAGCAGTTCAGCGCATTTGCTTTGACTTCCACATTACCCTTTCCTGTGCCTTCCCTGGAGGCCCAGTTCCCCTCCCAGCCCTTCCACCTTCCTGCCCAGATGTTTGTCCCACACTAGGGAAGGAGAAGTGAGGTTGAGGAGTCTCACCTCTAGGGTGCTCCCCGAAGACCCCCCTCTTGCAGGGTCCCAGGAACAGGTCTGGGGGGACAGTGTTTGAGAAGGGCAAGGCGGGTGATTCAATCTGCTGTTGCAATCCCTCACACGGGCCGGCTGCCCCTTCCCAACCTAGAGCACTCCAGAGATGCAGGGGAGGAGGGCCAGAGGGAAGTTACCTGTTGAGGAATGAGAGTGGGGGTGGGGTGGCTCCTGAGGAATCTCAGGTAGAAGCAGCTGGCACACTGGTTGTGCCCGGGCACTGGGCCAGTTTACAGGCATAATTCTCCTCTCTCATCTGGAGAAATACCTGTGCTGCTCTCGCCTGGATCTGTGCAGATGCCTTGCCCAGCTTCCTCCCTATTCCAGGAGCCTCTGCCTTTGAGATCTGATGGGAGGGGCACCTACCTTCCCCAGGGGTGGGGCAGAGGATCAGGTGGGGTCAATGAGGGGCAGTGGTGCCAGGCCATCTGCCTCTGGCTCAACTTGGGGCCTTGGAGCCTGTTCTTGCTCAGAAGCCAGGCCCTTCTCACCCCAGGAAGGGTGGGGGTGGTGGGGGAGGGAGGGGCACAGCTGTCCTGGGTTGGGTAGGTCTGGATGGAGTAGTTGAGGGGAGGAGGAGGTCAAAGGAGCTTATAGCTCTGAAGAGGCTCAGAAGTGTTGAGGGAAATTATTACCCAAAACTAATTTAAACCCTTTGCAGGAGTCTCACATGACACCGTCGGTCACATCAGCGTGGGGAAAGAGCCATGCAGTGTCCTGCTAACACCTTTGGAGCCATTCCTGATCTCTGGGAGCTGATTCACGGACCCCCTGGACCCACCCCCACCCCAATCTCTGAGCCAATGTGCTTCTTGGCATCTAGTCAAGAACAGACAAACCTCCACGTGACAAGACAAACATCTTTCCAATTTCCATCCAGGGGATAATGCCCAGTCCCTTAAACTTCAGAGCTGTCTCTTAACCCTCAGCCACATTCCTCTCCTCCATCGGCTGCGGTCATGAGGTTGTGCAGCGGTGGGTCCCCGTGTGCAGCAGAGGGTTAGGGGAGAGTGGTGGTGATGGAAGAGGTGGGGGCCATGGTGTCAGGAGGATCTGGGTTGGAATTGCTACTTTTAGGTCGGGAAAGTGCTGCACCTCCCAAGCCCCACTCCTTTATCTGAAATGGAGCTGAAAATGCCCACTGCTGTAGGGCGGTGGAGCTGGCTAAAGGAGAGAAGCTGGGCAAGGAGCTTGCTGAGTCCCTTCTCCTTAGGTGAGCACGCTGGGGGAGGCAAGATCTTGACTCACAGGGGATGGAGTAGGGGTGCGGATGGGGAAGTGAGGGGCAGAGTCCTAGCTAGTTGAGGGGGTCAAGAGGAAGAGCAGTAGGAGTTGTGTTACCAACCTTGGGGCTTGGGAGGTGGTGTCCGTGCATCTAGGGGGGAAGTCACCCCTCCTGTCGCTGGCCCCTCCCCTACACAAGGCCTGATGCCTCCCAGGCCCATCTTGGGCAGGCGGCCAGGCAGGGAGCTGGATGAGAGCCAACTGCACGCTCAGAGGCCAAAAGATGGGCACTGTCCAGCTGGCAGCGGGAGAGGCAGCTGGCCCAGGAGGGGAGAAGTCAGGGTGCCGACTGCTGGGATCGTGTGCCCAGACGGTGTGTCTGATGCTCGGCTCTTGGCTGCCCTCCTTGGCTGTCCAGCTACAGCAGGGAAGGGCCCCCTCCTCTTCTTGCCCTGACCTTGCCATCCAAACTACAGCAACTGGAGATTAGTCACCAAGAGGGCATCTGGGACCTTACCCCTAGCCAGGCATGTGGCTGGTTCAGGGGCTGGCCTGGGGGCGGGCAGGTAAGTGGGAGAGCCTAGATTAAGGCTGCAACTGGGTAGACCAGGAAGTGGGGAAACCGGTTTGTCATTAGGGCCAGTTGGGGTGGGGTCTTCTCTCCTGCCTCGCCTCTCTGTCGGCCTGCCACTCTGCCTGGTGGCCTATAGTGAAGAGATGTCCTGTGCCACTTTCTTGCTCATTTAAGCTGGCTCTGAGAATGCTAGGAGTAAAGAAAAGGGGCAAGCGAGTCAGCCCACCTTCTCCTCCCCAAGAGGAGCTTGGCAAAGAAGGAACAGGACAGAGGGCTCGATGGAGATGGGTAGGGAACAACCAGAACAGGAGGAGGCAAGGTGCTCCTTGCTCCAGCTCCTCCAAGCTGGAGAAGTCTGTGGAACCAACAGGTAGGTCAAGGTGGGACTTGGAGGAGGTGGGAGTAAGGCCGGGGTGGGCTGGGCAGAGCCGGCGCTCCGCACGCTGCTGTGCAGTGAGGATGGCGTCCCCAAGCGAGGAGCGAGAAGGAGTAGTTGGAGCACCCTCTTTTGGGGTCCCACTTAGCTGATGAGCAGCCTAGCTCGGGTCGCTGCAGTTCCAGCAGTCTCCTGCAGGAGGGGCCGCACCCCGAGCCGGGGGCAAGGAGACAGCCCGGCAGGGGGCTCCGGGGGACTGGGTCCCCGCAGTTGAGGCCTTTACAAAGAGAGGGGGGAGGGCGCCTTGGGCTGAGACAGAAGAGGGTCCGCTCTCTCCGGCCACCGGCGGCTGCGACTTTCGGAGGTCACCTTGGCTGAGGAGGGGCTCCCGAGTCTCGCCGCCCCGCCTAGCCTCCCGCCCGCGCCCCTCCCCGAATGCTGTTCCAGCCCTGGGCTCCAGAAGCCCCCCACCCTCGCGGCGCACCCCCTCTCCAAGGCCGGCGGCGGGCCTTGTGTGTTTTCCTCCTGCGCGGCGCGGGGCTTGCTCGGGTGGGAGTAGCAGGTGGAGCGGCGAGGGAGCCGAGCGCGCCCGTACCCCGGCCCGGCCGCGCGCCGCGGGCCCCCGCCAGGCTGCCGGAGGGCGCGAGGAGGCGCAGGGCCCCCCTCCCCCGCTCCCCGCCACCCCGGGCGGCCCTTTGTACGTTCGGCCACACGCGCGTGCCCGCGCCGCGCGCGCTCCCGCCCGCAGTGACACACCCGCGCCGGCCCGCGCGCGCGCTCAGACACACTCACACATACACACTCACTCTCGCTCTCGCACACTCGGTGACACGCCCGCGCGCGCGCGCACCCACACGCCCGGCCGCCGGCGCCCTCCCAGCTGGTCCACCCCGGCGGGGCCCGCGCCCCCGGCCCGCCCGCCCGGCACCGCGCCCCGGGGCTGGGGCCGAGCGAGGAGCCCGCGAGGCGGCGAGAGGGCGAGCGCCAGGCAGGCCGGCCCGGGGCCCCCGCCCCCCGCGCCCCCGCCCGATGGGGAACGCTCCGTCCCAAGGCATGTCCCTGTCTCTCTCCTCCCTAATGTGCCTCCATGCTTAAGTGGAAGGTATTTCTGTTTTCTTTGTGTGTTTTCCCCTCGGCCGGGGGCGGGGGCGGCGGCCGGGCCGGGAGGCGGCGGCCGGCGGGCGAGGGATGCGCCCGGCGCAGGTGTGCGGGGGGCCGCGGCCGCGGGGCGCCGGGCCGGGGGAGGGGCCCGGGCGGCAAGAGTGCTGGCGCCGGAGAGGGGTCTGGGGGGCGCGGCTGGACACCGGGTGGGGAGACCTTCGCGACGCGCGGGGGAAGGGGCCCGAGGGGCTCCCATTTAAAGGGGTCGGTGCGAGGGGGAGGGGGGCGGAGAAGAGGCCGGGGATGGATGCTGGGGGGGGAGGGGAGTGGTCCATGCAAGGTGGAGGAAGAGGACGCAGGGGAGCAGGAGGGAATGGAGAAGTGTGTGTTGGGGGAGGCGCGTCAAAGTGCTCTCTCTCCCCCGGGTCCCAGAATGGGGTGCATGCACTCGGGGGGTGGCGGTAGGCCCTTTGCACCAGCCCCCCTGGGAAGGCAGGGGGTGAGTGCATCTGGGGTTGGCTGTGTTGCCAGGATACAAGCCTGTATTCTCGGCTTCACCCCCCCACCCCCAGTCTTGCTTCCCCTCGAGGCCCCAGCCCAGGAGACCTCGGAGCCTAGGCAGCAGTTTAGAAACTGGGGACCTGCTCCCCGCTTTGCGGGTGGGTAGCGAGGGGCCCCGGAGAAGGCGGGGCTGGGGGAGGGGCTATTTAATCTTAAGCCCTCCTCCTGCTGAGGCCAGAGGGCAAGGGAGGGCGCCCCCGGCTGGGGAGAGCATCCAGGGTGTGTGAGGAGGTAGGGGCCGCCGGCGACCGAGGTTCAGAGGGCGGGGCCGGGGAGGGGACGCGGCTTGGCCCCCCCTCCCCTCCCACGCACCCCCCTGCTACGTCAGAAGCTCCCGGGCCAGCTCCTAGTCCTGTCGGTGGGGGCAGCAGGATGCTGGTGGAAGCAGAGGGGGCCGGCCGGGTGCCTCCGAAGCTCGGCTGGCAGGGCCCGGCGGGGCGTGTGCCGCTGCTAGTGCGAGCCCCCCCGCCCCACGCCTCCCCATGCAGCCCTGGCAGTGCCTCCGGCGCTTTGCCCTGGCCTGGTGGGAGAGGACCGCGGAGGGCCGCGCCCGATCTCCCAGGGAGGAGGCTGGACCGAGGGATCCTGGGGGCCGAGGGGAGCCAGGTGAGCTGGAACCGGAGGGAATCCTGGGCTGTCATTCCCTCTCCCAGATACTGTGGGACCAGGAGGTCCTGCAACCCCCAACTTTAAAGAAAGAGGGTCCCCCCTTGAGCTGAAACCTTTCAGAAGATGTTGGAGCTGCTGTTGTTTGGGGGGAAGGGGCAATGGATGAGGGCTAGGAATGGGGGGTAGCTAAGCAGACTTCCAGGTTTCAGGGTCTGAGTGTTCCTGGACTTAGGTTAGGATCCGAGCACCTTGCGGGGAGCAGGATACCTTCTTTCCTACTGGATATCGGAGTCTGGGTGACCTTGAGCCAACTGCTTTGCTGTCTAACTCTGTGCCTCAGTTTCTCTCATTCTCTTCCCATTCTCTTCTGCTGGTCTTGAAAATATGATGATGCATTTGATGGGGACTGCCACTGGGAAAACGTGAGGTTTGTCATCAGTTGGTGGCAGCTGTGATGGTGGCGATTTCTGGCATGGTTGTGTGTATGTATGTGGGGTCAGTTATGGTTTCAGTGCAGGCTTTTGCGGGTTCTGGTTGGTGCTGGAGCCACTGTGGGTGGGAGTCAGGACCTGGCATTCACACAGGAAGGAAGACCCGTGCAAGCTGCGAGTGGCCAGGCAGAGACTTAGCCAGTGGGTGGTGCGTGGAAAAGCCAGGGCTAGAGATGGGCGCCCTGGACACAGGCGAGTGGGTTCCAAGATTGAGAACCCCCCTCCACCCAGACTGCCTGGCACCCAGGCACCATTGGCAGTGAGTGCAAAGGCTTTGCCCTGGCTTCCTGCCACCCTGCCTTGGGGACAAGAGGGTCTTTGTCCAGGAACTTCCGCCCCCCCCCAGCCCTCCCTGTTCCTTCCTCCCCTACCATGATGGCTGGTTCTTTGCGATGACCCTCAGGGCTGGGATGGAGATGCTGGTCCCCATGTTCTTCCCACCGTCTGGGCTCTGGGAATCTGGAAGAAGCAACCCTGGTCCTCAGGCAGCGCTGGGGGAGGCTGGGGGCCCCTCCTAGTGGAAGGGGCCCTGGGAACGAGCCCTCTGGAGGCCTAGATCCTCCCCAGGCTTCTGCCTCGGCCCTCTGCCTGCCTCTGTCTCCTGTAGCGGTCCAAGGGTCTTCAAAGCTTGATTCCTGTGGGGCTCCAGGTTCCCTAAAGATGTCCAGGTACAGGGCTGGGTCCTGGGATGCTGAGCCTGCGGCGTGCGTTCTCTCACTCTGGCCAGGCCCCCACCCTGGAAAAAGGGTTTAATTAGAACCATTGATTCCTCCTTTGGCTGCGGGCATTGATCTCAACTGTGTGGTCAGAGCTGGGGTGTGATGGGGGGTGGGGGGGCTTGGCTGCTGTCTGTCCTGTGCCAACCTTGGCATTCTCTGACAATACCCAAGCTTAGGAGACAGGGGGCTGGGCTCTTTGAAGCACCAGTTCTGCTTTGGCCCTACCCTCACCCCAGATTAGGTCTTGGGGAAAAGAGGGAGATGGGGCTGAGGAGTTGAAGCAAGGGAGCCCATTTGGGGGTCCAGAAAGAGCAGTTTGTGGTGTCTCACGTTCCCAGTAGTGGTCCTTGAGGCTCAGGAATGGAGGCCAGCTCGGCTGGGAGGGGTCCTGAGAGGGAGAGTGGGGAGACAGTTGAGTGCACTGAGGGTGTGGGCAGGCAGCGAGATCTGGGGAGGATCTAGGGCTTGCAATGGAGACAGAGTTCTCTTTCGAGGAATCCCAAGCAAGCACTTATCTTCTCGAAGCCCTGGCTAAGATCTCTTTTCTTCCTTGCTTGTGTCCTCGAGGCCCAGAGAGGGACAAAAACTGCCTCAGAGGCCCAGCAGGCTTGGGTCTGGCCCTTGTGCCTGGCTCCTGACAGAGAGGCCCCTGCCTAGGCACAGGGAGCTGAGGATCAGGCTCTTGGCAGCCTCATATCTGATCTTTGGGCTTGGTGGAAGGTGGGGGACAGCTCGGGTCCCCCAAACCCTGTCTGCCTGCCATGGGTGGGCTGGTGCAGGTGCAGGCTTCAATGAGCCACTCAGATGCTCTTTGAAGAATTCCTTTTTGGCTTCCTAGGGCCCATTGGAGCAAAGATAATAAAAATCTGGCCGTCAGCGGGTTTGAGGGCTGTACTCCTTCCCCTTCTTTCATTCCTAGCTCTGAAAAGCTGAGATGAAGGCTTTGGATTTGGCTGGGAAGCTGCGCTTGCCTGCCTTGCCTGCCCCAGGGAGGGAGGGAGGGAGGCGAGAGAGGGAGGAGGCAGGCAGAGGAGGGAGGACTGATTTCCCAGTGGAGGGGACGGAGAGGGGACAGAGGGACAAGAGCATGGTCCCCAACTTCTGCCAGGCAACCTTGGGCCTCCATATCGGGGCTCCTGTCCCCTGTATCCAGGCTCAGCTTGTCCTTCTGTTTTGGAGACTGGGAGCTCTTCCCTCTGCTCCAGTGCTCCACAGTCCCTGTCCCTCAGTTTCCCCGACTTTCCCCTCCTGGTCTCCCCCTTCTCTGCCCCATCTCCTGCTCCACCCTTCACGTGCTTTCTCATCCCCTGTCGCCGCCCTCTGCTCTTAGTCTCCCCCTTTCTGTCTAATGCCCCCACCCCCAACTGTCTGTCATCCTTTCCGCAGTACTGGTCCTGCTTTCTAGGACTGTCTGGAAGGTTGAGAAGCCAAGTTGGGGGGGGGTGGAGAGGGGGGGCGGGCGGAGGCAGCCACAGCATGGAAGGGATGGGCCTAGGTTCACTATTATGGTCTG